GTATGCTTCAGCCTTAGTAGGTTGTTTGGGCCTAGAAATTTATCAATTTCTTCTTATTTGATTTGTTGGTATATACATATTCATTATAATCTCTTATGATCCTTTATATTTCTGTGGTATCAGTTGTAGTGTCTCCTCTTTTACTTATAATTTAATTTATTTCAGTCCTCTCTTTTTTTCTTGGTGAGTTTAATGACTGTTTGTTTGTTTGTTTGTTTATTTGAGATGGAGTTTCACTCTGTCACCCAGGCTGGAGGGAAGTGGCACAATGTCAGCTCACTGCAACCTCTGTCTCCTGGGTTCAAGCGATTCTCCCACCTCAGCCTCCAAGGAGCTGGAATTACAGTCATGAGCCACCACACCTGGCTAATTTTGTATTTTTAGTGGAGACAGGGTTTCACCATGTTGGCCAGGCTGGTCCTGAACTCCTGACCTCAAGTGATCCACCCACCTCAGCCTTCCAAACATTTTATTTTTAAACATGAATCCAGATGTCCGTATTCCTCCCAAGATTTGAGAAACCTTCAGCCATTATTTCTTTAAATAGGCTTTAATTTCCTTTCTTTCCTCCACCTAGAAATCCTCAAATGAATATATTCATTTGTTTGATGGTGTCTTATAGGTATTGTATACTTTCTTCATTCTTTTTCATTATTTTTTCTATTCCTCTAACTGGCTAATTTCAAATGACCTGTCTTTGAGTTCACTGACTCTTCTGCATAATAAAATCTGCTGCTGAAGCTCTCTATTGAATTTCTTAGTTCTGCCATTGTATTCTTTGTTCCATTGAACATTGTTCCAGAATTTGATTCTTTTTTCTCCATTAATCTTCTTATTTTATTCATGCATTGTTTTTCTGATTTTGTTTAGCTGTCTGTCTGTGTCCTTATATCTCATCAAGCTTCTTTAAAATAAGTGTAGTTGTCCCTCAGTATCCATGGGAGACTGGTTCCAGGACCTCCCATGGATATGAAAATCTGTGAGTGCTGAAGTCTCTGATATAAAATGGCATAGTATTTGTATATAATCTATGTACATCCTCCTGTATACTTTAAATCATCTTACTTATAATACCTAACACAGTGTAATTTTATGCAAATAGTTGTTATACTGTATTGTTTAGGGAATAATGACAACAAAAAGCCTATCTGTGTGCAGTTAGAGATACAAAAATAGATCCATGGTTGATTGAATCCATGGATGCAGAACCCACAGGTACAGAGGCCTGACTTCATTTTGAGTTCTTCATCAAGCAATTTGTAGACCTCCATTTCTTTGGGGTCTGCTACTGGAGCTTTATTAGTTTCCTTTGGTAGTGTCATGTCTGCCTGACTCTTTGTGCTCCACGTAGCCTTGCATTGGTGTTTGCACATTTGAAGGAGCAAACCCTTCTTCTAGTCTTTACAGGCTGGTTTTGCAGGCAAAGACCTTCTGCTGCTATCCAGACCAATGGGATTGTTTCTGGGATCACAGTTGAGTGGCTTTGGGGCCAGGTTATGTGGCTGTTCCTGGATCTGCATGGGGTCCATCATTGGTAGGCCTGTTACCAGACATTCAGGTGGGTGATAATTCAACCTAGTCCCTGGGCAGATGGAACTGCCTCTAGAACATTGGGCAGTAGGTCTGGCACTAGGACAATAATCCACTTCAGAGTGCTCAGTTGGGTCTGCAAACAGTGGGCCTGTTACCATGTGTGTGGATGAGTGTGGCCTCTGCCAGATCCCTGAGAGGTCTCCTATTGGGTCACTGGGAAAGTCCCTGGGTGGGGAGGACTGACTCTGGGCTATGGCTAAGTGGGGCTAGAACTAAGTCACAAGTCTGCTTCAGAGTCTACAGCAGAAACTGAGGTCTGCAAGTCTGCCTCCAGGGGTATGGACATGTATGTCCCTCTTGCTGGGTTCCTTGGTGGTCAGGACTGCCCCTAAATCATGGCTTAGCAGAATTGGGGCTGGGTCACAGGGTCACTTCATTATCTCCAGTTGGACTGAGGTCCAGGGTCCCAGTTGGGTATATCTCCATCTGATGCCCTCGGTGAGCAGAACCACTCTCAAGTCATGGTTGAAAGGGGCTGGAGCTTGTTTCAGCACTATTTCAGGACCAGCGGTCAAACTTCAGTCATTGGATATGTTGCATGAGGCATGGGTGAGCATGACTCCTCCTAGGGCCTTTGGTGGATCATGTTGGTGGCAGGACCAAGGCCAAATGGGACTGTAGCTGAGTCCACAGGGGAATGGGCTGTTTCCAGGTCTGTAGCAGGGACCACAGTCAGTGAGCCTGGCCACCTGGGACTGCCACAGTCAGTGAACCTGCTTTCTCAAAATGGCCTTCCTTGGTCATGGCCTCCACCAGGGTTTTGGAACCTCCTACCTGGATCCCAGAGTTCGCACACAGGCATTTTGTCTGTGGATGGCTGTAAAATTGTTGTTGCTGTGGGGGATACAAGAAGGGGAACTCCTATTCCACCATCTTGCTAAAGTTACCAGGAAATCAGTTCTTTATCACTTTTAATGTCAGAAAATAATGAAACAAAAAATCAGTTTACTATTCATTTAACAAGTTACTAGCAGAGGTAGAACACTCAGAAAGGAAAAGGTTGAAGACGATGCCTGAGTAAGGACATCAGAGGGAAGAAAGAACAGGGGTGGATTGCAAAGGAGAAAAGAGTTAAGAATTGAGGAAGCTCTGAGGGCTCTGAAAGCCAGTGTCACAGCAGTGTGGACAGGACGATGGGGGTTGGGGCTCTTTCCTGTTTGTGAATGTAAATTGTACTTGCTCTTTTTATTGATTTTAAATAACAGTAGTAGTTAAGCTCCAACTTTTCCTTAGAATGCAGCTTTAGCTACATCCCATAATTGTATTCTTCTTTCATTAATCTCTAGATACCTTGACATTTGATTTTGATTTTTTCTTTGATCCAGGGTTTACCTAGAAAAGTGTTCAAGTAGTTATTTTTTTGAGGTGAAGTCTTGCTCTGTCGCCCATGCCCGAGAGCAGTGGTGCAATCTCATCTCACTGCAACTTCCACCTCCCAGGTTCAAGGAATTCTCCTGCCTCACTCTCCCTGCCACCACACCTGGCTAATTTTTGTATATTTAGAAGAGACAGGGTTTTGCCATGTTGACCAGGCTGGTCTTGAACTCCTGGACTCAGGTGATCCACCCGTCTCAGCCTCCCAAAGTGCTGGGATTACAGGCGTGAGCCACTGCACCTGGCTGGAAGTAGTTATTTTTTTGGTCATATTAAGATTTACGGGCCAGGCGTGGTGGCTCACGCCTGTAATCCCAACCCTTTGGGAGGCCAAGGTGGGGTGATTACCTGAGGCCAGGAGTTCAAGACCAGCCTGGCCAACATGGTGAAACCCTGTCTCTACTAAAAATACAAAAAAAATAGCCAGGGTGGTGGTGCGTGCCTGTAATCCCAGCTACTGGAGAGACTGAGGCACAAGAATTCCTTGAACCTGGGAGGCAGAGGTTACAGTGAGCCAACATGCCACTGCACTCCAGCCTGGGTGACAGGGCAAGACCTGTCTCAACAACAACAAAACGATTTATGGAATTATGATCAGCAAAAACAGTTTGTAAAATTTCTACTTTGGGGATTTTAATAAGACTTATTTCGTTGTTAAGTACATGATTGATTACTAAAAATGTGCTATAAGAAAAACTTGATACTATGTGTATGAACCAAGGTTATCAGTCTGCCTAATTAGACCAAGCTGAGGGATTGTGTCCTTCAGAATGAAATGTTTGCAGATATTTTTTCTGACTTGCTCTTTCAATTTCTGAAAGGTGCATTTAATATTCCCACGGTGGCTATTCATCCTGGGAGCTGCTGCTCTAGACGCCTATCTGCCAAGTTTGGTGTGGACCAGTTGTGGCTTCTATGACTTTTCATGGCCTTTTATCAAAACATAGACCCCTTCATTATCTCTTCGAATATTTCTGACCTTAATATTTCTGATTAACTAACAGTGACCCGCCTTTTGTGTGTGTGTGTGTGTGTGTGTTTTTAATCAATCTTTTTGGCCTCAGGCAAGTGACAAAAATTCTTCCTTGGCCAAACTCTAAACAGCCTCTTTTGAGCCCCTTCTCAACCAGGCCCCAACAAACTCTAACATAGTTTCTAATAGCTCACACTATATCCCTAGCCCCCATAATGTGCCTGCCTAGGAAAATTCAAGGCTGCCAAAAGAATTTAGTTTACTCCAGCCAACACCTGAAGGTAGGGCCTTCAAGCAGGGTCTCCCAGCCTCTGCGGGTGGACAGGAGTCTAATCTTGATACATGTCAGTTAGTTAGCAAATCCATGGGTTTCACATGGACCAAAGCCACCTTCCCAACTCTGTACTTTTTCACTTCCCTGGCTCCACTGAGCCCCCACTCACACACTCCCTAGTCCCTCATCCTCCCTTTAAAATGCCTGGTCACTTCTGTTCAGATTGATGAGTTCATGATGGACTTTCTCCTATTGCCAATAGTTACTGATTAAGGCCAGGTGCGGTGGCTCATGCCTGTAATCCCAGCACTTTGGGAGGCGGAGGCAGGTGGATCACCTGAGGTCGGGTATTTGAGACCAGCCTGGCCAACACGGTGAAACCCCGCCTCTACTAAAAAGTCAAAAATTAACTGGGTGTGGTGGCGTACACCTGTAATCCCAGCTACTTAGGAACTAGGCTGAGGCAGGAGAATCCCTTGAACCCAGGAGGCGGAGGTTGCAGTGAGCCAGGATTGTGTTACTGCATTCCAGCCTGGCCTGGGCGACAGAGTAAGACTCTGTCTCAAAAAAAAAAAGTTACTGATTGAAATCCGTCCTCACCACTGTAGTGTCTGGCTTTGGTGGATGGTCACCTGGCATTTGGCAGTGGAACTCTCTGAAGGATTAACTTCTGACAGAGCACCGGCACCCAACATGCACCCCATTTCATCCCACATCAGTACTGGTGTCCTACTTTTTAATCCAAATGAAAACGAATGCAGAGATTTTTACTTGGTGCAAGAGAAGTCGCCTTCAAAAGTTCAATAATTTAATTTCATGGTAGGAGGAAAGTGCAGGAAAAGTGTTTTACTTTTCTTCTGCACATGTGAATTCATGCACACGGTCACCAAGACCAGTGACCTTGTGTGAGGGCTTTATTACTTGGCTGCGCTTGAAGCCGAGTTAGGGGGAGAAAGGAGGGGCTTCCGGTGAAACACGAAACTTTGTTCCCCTGGCTTCCATCTGTGGAGGTAGATTGTGAGAAGAAAATCACCTTGAGTTCGAGAAAAGCAAAACAGTATCAAAAACCAAAACAAAACAAAGATAAATAAAGGTAAGACACAGAGAACGAGAAAAGCAGATAGGATCACACTGGCACCACACAAAGATGGTAACTGCAACCACTGATCCCACACTCGGCTAAGCCAGGTAAGGTGGCAGGTTAATGTTTTGTGCACAAGAATGTTCACCGTGACATTATAAGAGCAACAGTTTAGAAACAGCCTAAATGCTAAAAAATTTAGAGGTGGAGAATTTTATTTACCAGAAATCCTCAATGAGGATTTTTAGAAAGAAAATCAGTCAGTGAACAAGTAATTGCACTCCTTGGGATAGAAGAGAAGTGTGTGTGCATGTGTCTGTGTGTGTGTGGTGTGTGGTGTGTGGTGTGTGGGTGGTGTGTGTCAGGTTTGTATGTTTGGTGTGTGTGTGGTGTGCGGTTTGCGCGTGTGTGGTATATGTGCTGTGTATGTGCATTTGTGTATGTGATGTGTTTGGTGTGTGTGGTATGCACGTATATATGTATGTTTGTGTGATGTGTTTTTGTGTGAGGTGTGTGTGCTGTGTATGTGTTTGTGTGTGGTGTGTGAGGTGTGTGTTTGGTGTTTGTGGAGTGTATGTATGTGGTATGTGTGTGGAGTGTATATGTATGGTGTGTGTGATGTGTGTGGTATGTGAGGTGTGTGTGTGGTGCATGTTTGTGGTGTGTGGTGTGTGATGTGTGCGGTGTATGTATGTGGTATGTGAGCTGTGTGTGTGGTGTTTGTGGTATGTGTGAGCTGTGTGGTGTATGTGTGAATGGTGTGTGAGGTGTGTGTGATGTGTGGTGTTTGTGGAGTGTTTGTGTGTGTGCACACGATATATGTGCTGTATGTGTGGTGTGTGTGTGTAATTTGTGTGCGAGGTGTGCAAGGTGTGGTATCTGTGATGTGTGTGGTGTGATATGTGATATGTGTGATATGTGAGAGGTGTGTATGGTGTGTGTGAGATGTGTGGTGTGTATATGTTGTGTATGTGTCTATGGTATATGAGGTGTGTGTGTGTAATATATGTGTGTGTGGTGTGGGTTGGTGATGTGTGGTGTGTATGTATGTAGTTTGTATGTGGTGTGTGCAAGATGTGTGTGGTGTGTGTGATGTGTGTGGTGTGTGTATAAGTGTGTATGTGAATGTGTATATGGTGTGAATGTGCGTGGTGTTTGTGGAATATGTGTCTGTATATGGTGTATGTATGAGCCTGTGTGGTGCTGGTGTATGTATGTGTGGTATGTGTGTATAAGTGTGTGTGGTATGTGTGGGGTGTGTGTGGTGTATGTGTATGGGTGTATGTGGTATGTGGGGTGTGTGTGTGGGTGTGTGGTGTGTGTATATGAGTGTGTGTGGTGTGTGTGGAATGTGTGGTGTATGTGTGGTGTGTGTGTATGAGTGTGTGTGGTGTGTAGTATGTGTGGTGTGTGGAATGTGTGTGGTGTGGGTGTGTGGTGTATGTGTATGTGTGGTGTGTGGAATATGTGTGGGGTGTGTGGTGTATGTGTATGTGTGGTGTGTATGTGGATGGGTATGTGTGGAACATGTGTGGGGTGTGTGTGGTGTATGTGTATGGGTGTGTGTGGTATGTGGGGGGTGTGTGTGGGTGTGTGTGGTGTGTGTATATGAGTGTGTGTGATGTGTGTGGAATGTGTGGTGTATGTGTGGTGTGTATGAGTGTGTGTGGTGTGTAGTATGTGTGGTGTGTGGAATGTGTGTGGAATATGTGTGGGGTGTGTGGTGTATGTGTATGTGTGGTGTGTATGTGGATGGGTATGTGTGGAACATGTGTGGGGTATGTATGGTGTATGTGTATGGGTGTGTGTGGTATGTGGGGTGTGGGTGTGGGTGTGTGGGTGTGTGTGATGTGTGTATATGAGTGTGTGTGGTGTGTGTGGAATGTGTGTATGTGTGGTGTGTATGAGTGTGTGTGGTGTGTAGTATGTGTGGTGTGTGGAATGTGTGTGGGGTGTGTGTGTGGTGTATGTGTATGGGTGTGTGTGGTATGTGTGGTGTGTGTGAAATTGTGTGTGTGGTGTATGTGTATGAGTATCTGTGTATGTGTATGTGTGTGGGGACAATTATTTATGGAACACCTACCCTGTTCACCAGCAGTGAACCGAAGAGAGGGGGAAACCCTGCCCTGGGGACCTCACCTCCCATGATGCCACCTTCACAGGAGGGGACCAAGTGCCTCCATTTGTGGCTTTCACTCTGAAGCTGCCTCAACATGCATGTTTCTCCACAGATTGATATTTACACCCCCCACTGTAAACTGCTCTCCTGCCCTTTTTTCTGGCTGTGAACTAAAATTATTTTTAGGGAAAAGAGAGAGAGAAGGATCTGGATGAACAATTAATTAGAATTCATTTTCTAGTGGCATTTCTCCTGGTTCCTTCATTGCTGCTTGAAGGATAATTAAGGGTTCCGGTGTGGCTAATCATGTGGATTAAGAGTGGCTTCTTGTGTCCCATACAAATCCAAATGACTCACCACCAGTCATTTTCCCACTTTCTATGATCCTGAGATCCGAATCTCACTAACTTGAAAGTTACAGTTTTCAGGGATGCTTTTTTTTTTTTTTTTTTTTTTAAATAATGAGAGTGACTTTCTCAGTTTTATGTTACACTCTTTTGTGCAAATAAGCTGCCTGTGCTGCTGTAGGCTGCACATTTTCGTTTCCAGTTAGAGGGTGAAGAAGCCATTACCGGCTTCAGGTGCAGACACCTTTTTAGATGATTCTTAGTTACAGTGATTTTTAGAGGCACAGTTGATGACTAGTGGAAAAGTCTTCCGAGCAGACTCTTTAAACCACCCACTCAGGCCAAGGAATGCCCCTCACCAGCTGCGTTTTCCTCAGGGAACTGAGCTTCCCAACCCTGTAGAATGTACTTCTCTGCATGTGTCTGTTTGGTTCTGTGCCCCATCTCTGTGCCCAGAATAGCACCAGGCCGCCAGCAGACTGAGAGCTCCATCTGTGGTCCAGGTTAATCTAATAATCTCACATCGGATCGGTTTGACGATCGGGATTTCTGTGGTCTGGTCTCTAATACCGCATGTTTGCATTTGGGATAGAGCATTTCACCCACAATTTAACCAAAAAATGCTGTTCCAAATAATCGTGTTGGCCACAGTATATTAAACACAGAGCTTTCCTAATAAGCACTTGAGTTTTCTTGCACATGCGAGGAAGAGATTGGGTTTTTATATAGACTAGATTATTTCAGAAAAAAAAAAAAATCCCGAAGGGATAATCAAGTTAGTACAATTTGTTAAAAGAGAATATTACATGTGCAATGAGTTTGCATATTTATAGAACCCACATAATAAAGCCAGCTTTTACCAGATCACTTTCCCTTGTAAACATGGTCAATTGTATCTTGTAGGAAAGAAATGTTAACAGTGATTTTAAGCTAATGAAGTTCACATTGAAAACTATTTTAGGTAACTAGAAGTTTACTCTTACTGCATAATAACTAAAACCTGAAGAAAATTTACCTAAAATTAGAAAAGAAAAGCGTTGCTCGCTCTTATGGGACCACTGGCCTTAGAGAGGGCGCCCCCAAAACACGTGAGTCTCCTCCTACCCCGTCCGGGGACCTGCGTGCCAGCAGAGAGCAGCTCTTATGTGTGAGTAAGTGTAGTGTGTGTGTGGAATGTGGTGTGTGTGGAATGTGGTGTGTGTGTGTGTAGTATGTGTATATGAGTGTGTATCTGTGTGTGTGGGGACAATTATTTACGGAGTGCCTCTCTGTGCTGGGGACCAGCAGTGAACACAACAGAGGGAGAAACCCTGCCTTACGGACCTCACCTCCCACCTTCGCAGGTGGGGACCGACTTCCCCCATCTGTGACTTTCAGGTGCCTCGACACACATATTTCTCTAGGGACTGGTATTTATGCTCTCCCCCCTACCTCCCTTCTTAAACTGAAGGACCTTTTTCTGGCTGTGAACTAAAATTACTTTTAGGGAAAAGAGAGAGAGAACCCTTGTAAACATGGTCAATTGTATTTTGTAGGAAAGAAACGTAACTTTTATGTTAAGCGAATGAAGTTCACGTGGAAAACTATTTTAGGTAACTAGAAGTTTACTCTTACTGCATAATTAAAACTTGAAGAAAATTTACTTGAAATTAAAAAAAATAATTTTTTGAAATAAAAAATAATTTTTAAAAAATTAACTTCAATTTTAAAGTTAAATTAAAATTTAAATATTTTTAATCTTAAAATTAAAAATTCAGAGCCCGCGAGCACAGCAGACAGGCACCAGCTCCCAAGTGAGAACAGCAGCTTATCAACATTTACTCTAAAAAAAAAAACACAACCAACCTTCAGAACAATTTGTGCTCCTGTTCAGCCGGAGACATCGTTCGTGCTTTCACGCGGGGCCGGCGCCGTGTCCTTTTTGGAGTGCACTTTGCAAAACAGAATGAGACTGTAGGTGGATAGAGAGAGACCTCGCGCGGCTCCGCACCGAACTGGGTAGGGCGAGGAGCCCGGGGTGGGCCGGAAGGCGCCTGCGGGGAGGCCTGGTGCGCTTCCGCAGCCGGGAGGAAGCAGAGCCGAAGCGCAGCGGATGAAGTGAGGGCCTGAGCTAAGGACCCGCGTCCTCCCGGGGGTTCCGGCAGGCAGGGGAGTGGTCCCAGAAGAAGACTGGTCATTCCAGGGCCCCTAACCTTTTCTGCACCTCGGACCCATTTGGACTTGGGTCTCTTCTCAGGGTATACTTTCATAACACAAAAAGTAAAACACTCAAACTTCAAAGATAACATCTAATATTAAAATTATCAAAATATTTTAAAAATAACATTGCGATGTGTTATCATACGTGTGCTTCTGTATTAACTCAATAACAAGATTTTGCAGCGGGCCCGATAATGTGTGTTATTGTCAAGCAGTGATGAGCGAAATAGAATTTCTAGTATCGGCCACAGCTGCAAAGTGACATGAAAATAACCAGTGTTTAGTGGCGACCAGCCACCCATAATAGCGATACGTCTCTGGGTTTTTTCCTGCGTGTATAATAAGAGGAAATGCTACATCTCAATTCTAAATGAAATGTAGGTTAGTAATTTTTTTTTTTTTTTTGTCCCAACCGAAGTTCCCAGGCAGAACCGTGGGGGTCTTGGGCTCTGCAACTGAGGACTCTGCAACTTCCTTCAAGTGAAGGAAGAGCTCTGCCTCCAAAGAAAGACTGCAGCCGCTGGAAATCACAAGCTGCAGAGGAACACAGGTACCAGATGTCCTGGTGTGCCCGCGATGGAGGCGGCAGGCTTTTGCCCTTTATCTAATGCTGTGAGCACCGGCCTCATCAGCTGCCGCAGCTGCGCTCTGGCTGAGGCATCACGCAGCAAATACTCCTGTCTCAGGAAGATCTATTCTGGTTTCTTTATTTTTTTGTTTGTTCTTTTTTTGATTGTTTGTTTGTTTACAGTATTTCCTGTTGAATAACCCGCCTCCAGAGACTAGGGATGGTGTTCCCCAGCTTGTTCACCGCTGAACCCAGCCTGTGCCCAAGAAGCATTTGTGGAATGGCCGTATGGACAAATAAATAAATGAAAGGATTTGGTAAGAATCCATAAACTATTGATAGAACTTTCTCTGTGACAGCAATCCTTTCATCTAAGTAATGTTTTCTTCAGATATTCTTAAAAGTACATGGCTCTCATGTCGCACCCACTGAGATAGCTATATATGCAGTACATAAGGCAGATAATAACCAGTGCTGGTGAGGATGTGAAGAAACTGGAGGCATCATTCATTGCTGGTGGGAAGGTGAAATGGTGCAGCCACTATGGAAAATAGTTTGGAAGTTTCTTTAAAAGATAACAAATGCCGGGTGTGGTGGCCCATGCCTGTAATCCCAGCACTTTGGGAGGCAAAGGTGGGAGAATTGCTTGAGCTTAGCAATTTGAGACCAGCCTGGGCAACATGGTGAAATCCCGTCTCTACAAAAAAAAAAAAAAAAAGAAAAAGAAAAAAAATTAGCCGGGCATGGTGGCATGGGCCTGTAGTGTCAGCTTCTCAGGAGACTGAAGCAGGAGGATCCCTTGAGCACAGGAGGTCGAGGGTGCAGACAGCTGTGTTTGCAGCACTGCACTCCAGCCTGGGTGAGAGAGTGAGACCCTTTTTCAAAAACAAAAATCAACAATTTACTATATGACTCAGCGATTTCACTCCCAGGACTCTACCCAAGAGAAGTGAAAACGTATGTCCACACATGAATGTATGCAAATGTTCACAGGAACATTATTCACAATAGCCCCAAACTAGACAAATTCAAATGTCCATGGATGGATGAATGAATGAACAGCGTGGTATATCTATACAATTGAATACTATGCAGCAAAAAAGAAAAAAGGACTTTTTTTTTTTTGAGATGGAGTCTCGCTCTGTACACCATGGATGAAACTTGAAAACTTTCTGCTCAGTGAAAGAAGCCAGAAGCAAATACCACATATTCTATGGTGCCATTAACATGAAATGTCCAGAAAAGGCAAATCCATAGAGACAGGAAGCAGAACAGGTTGCCTGGGGTTGACAAGCATAAGGGATCCTTGTAGGATAATGGAAATGCTCTGAAATTAGACTGGGGAGAAGGCTGCACACTCTGCAAATAAACTAAAAATCACTGAATTGACACCTAGAATGAGTGAATTTTATGCAAATAAATTATTGAGAGGTGAAGCCAGCTGGACTTCCTGAGTTGAGCAGGGACTTGGAGAACCCTTCTGTCTTACAAGAGGATTGTAAGATGCACCAATCAACGCTCTGTAAAAACGCACCAATCAGCACTCTGTACCTAGCAAGGGGGATTGTAAAATGATGCATCAATCAGCACTCTGTAAAAACGCACCAATCAGTGCTCTGTAGCTAGCAAGAAGATTGTAAAATGCACCAATCAGCGCTCTGTAAAACACACCAATCAGTGCTCTGTAAAATGCACCAACCAGTACTCTGTAAAATGCTCCAATCAGCAAGATTCTAAAAGTAGCCAATCGTGGGGAGGACTGAAAAAAAGGGCAATCTGATAGGACAGAAACGGAACATGAGCCAGGACAAATAAGGAAGTAAAAGCTGGTCACCCCCCAGCCAGGCGTGGCAACCCGCACAGGGCCCCTTCCACGCTGTGGAAGCTTTGTTCTTTCGTTTTTCACAATAAACCTTGCCGCTGCCCACTCTTTGGGCCCCTACCATCTTTAAGAGCTGAACACTCACCTCCAAAGTCGGTGGCTTCATCCTTGAAGTCAGCAAGACCAGGAAGGCACCAGCAGGAACCAACTCTGGACACATTATGCCACAACAAAGCTGTTAAAATATGAAGTGGGACTCAGTCTTCTGTAACACAACCAGTGGACACTAACTGAGCCCCAGATTTCTACCTGCCGGGACCAGAAGAGCCTGCGTGGGGCCTGGAACTCATTGTTAAAAGACGCTGTGGGTATCCCAGAGTAAGAGGTGTGAGGTCGCAGCACATAAGAAAAGTTAAATGATGGGAGGCCGAGGCAGGCGGATCATGAGGTCAGAAAATCGAGACCATCCTGGCTAACACGGTGAAACCCCGTCTCTACTAAAAATACAAAAATTAGCCAGATGCAATGGCGGGCGCCTGTAGTCCCAGCTACTCGGGAGGCTGAGGCAGGAGAATGGCGGGAACCCGGGAGGCAGAGCTTGCAGTGAGCCGAGATCGCGCCACTGCACCCCAGCCTGGGCGAGGGAGTGAGACTCCGTCTTTTTTTTTTTTTTTTTTAATACTTTAAGTTCTAGGGTACATGTGCATAGGTGCAGGTTTGTTACATATGTATACATGTGACATGTTGGTGTGCTGCACCCATTAACTCACCATTTACATTAGGTATATCTCCTAATGCTATCCCTCCCCCCTACCTCCTCCCCACAATAGGCCCCGTGTGTGATGTTCCCCTTCCTGTGTCCAAGTGTTCTCATTGTTCAATTCCCACCTATGAGTGAGCACATGCGGTGTTTGGTTTTCTGTCTTTGCGATAGTTTGCTCAGAATGATGGTTTCCAGCTGCATTCATGTCCCTACAAAGGACATGAACCCATCCTTTTTTATGGCTGCATAGTATTCCATGGTGTATATGTGCCACATTTTCTTAATCCAGTATGTCATTGATGGACATTTGGGTTGGTTCCAAGTCTTTGCTATTGTGAATAGTGCCGCAATAAAGGAAAGGGAAAGGGAAAGGGAAGGAAAAAAGAAAAAAAAAAGAAAAGTCAAAGGAGGCAACAGCCAGACTTCAAGAGCACTGCAGGTCCGTGTACCCATCTGTTCCCACCCTGTCAGTCCATCTGACACTGGCCCGTGTTAGTTCCGTGCTGTGACTGCAGTATCCCTTTGCATTATTTATGGGAAAAGCTTTGCCAAGCAAGTTGAAAATAGAAATAATAGAAACAGGAGGATGCTTTGGGAACACTAATAATATTCCAGGCAATCCGCATGTTAGTCTTTGGCTCCTGTAGCCTAATTTGAATTATTTTGTGTATCTGAAAGTAATGGTGAATTTTCTGAACAAAATGCTGTGGTTCCACATTCTTATCAGTTTACACTGGCTTTCCCCCAAAAGAGGTGGCGTTAGTGCAGTTTTCCTGTGAGGACCCCACCATGGTGAGGAGACAATCAAAATGCAGTTAAAAAGAAAGGAAAGACAAAAAGATGATTTTTCAAAACCAGGAAAAGAAAAGCCGTGTTAGACAGCTAGTGAAATGTAGAAAAACGCTTGTGCAGCTAAGGCAATAGGGCTGGAAAGACAGCCTTGTCAGATACCGGACAGGAGCAGGCAGTGCCGTGGGGAGAACACAGAGCTGGCACCAATGCACAGGAGGAGCTGGAGAAGCCACTGCCTCCCTGCCTCCTGGACTCCCTCCACCTGTCTGGACCCCTCTCCCTTCCCAGACACCGCCTCCACTTTGAGTCATCAAGTATCATTCACGTAGGCACCCCAGTCCGTCTGGAGTTGGCCCCTGGTGGACTGCAGCAGTGAAAGGGCAGGGTTGGGACATCTTGGGGGGAGTGATAGTTGCCCTGTGGGCGGAGGTTGTTGCTACCGTCCTGCAGTGGTTGTAGCTGCCATCCTGGGGGGCTTGTAGCTGCCATCTTGGGGGGTTGTAGTTGCCGACCGGGGGGCGCATGGCTGCCACCCTGGGGGAAAGTTGTAGCTGCCATCCTGGGGGGGGCGGGGGTTGTAGCTGCCATCCTGGGGGAGTTGTAGCTGCCACCCTGGGGGGGGGGCAGTGTTGTAGCTACCATCCTGGGGGGTTATAGCTGCCATCCTGTGGGGGGGGGGGTTGCAGCTGCTGTCCTGTGGGAGTTGTAGTTGCCCTCCTGGGGGACCTGTAGCTGCCATGCTTGAGGGGGTTGTAGCTGCCACCCTGAGGGAGGAGGTTGTAGCTGCCATCCTGGGGGGAGGAGCAGTGTTGTAGCTACCATCCTGGGGGGTTATAGCTGCCATCCTGGGGGGGGGCAGGGGTTGTAACTACCATCCTGGGGGGTTACAGCTGCCATCCTGAGGGGGTTGTAGCTGCCATCCTGTGTGGGGGGGTTATAGCTGTCATCCTATCGGAGTTGTAGCTGCCCTCCTGGGGGACCTGTAGCTGCCATCCTCGAGGGGGTTGTAGCTGCCACCCTAGGGGAGGAGGTTGTAACTGCCATCCTGGGGGCAGTGGTAGCTGCCTTCCTGGGGAGATTGTAGCTGCTGTCCTGGGGGGTTTTAGCTGCCATCCTGGGAGAGGTTGTAGCTGCCATCCTGGGGAGGTTGTAGCTGCCATCCTGGGGAGGTTGTAGCTGCCATCCTGGGGAGGTTATAGCTGCCATCCTGGGGAGGTTGTAGCTGCTTGGGAGGGGTTAAAGTTGCCATCCTGTGGCGGGGGGGGCGGGCTGTAGCTGCCATCCTGGGTGTGGGACGGGGCTTGTAGCTGCCATCCTAGAGGGGTGTAACAGTTGGCTTCTGAAGTTCCAGAGACACAGTCACTTCCTTCTGGTGCCTCCCCTGGGTACTTGCAGATGCCCAAGGGCCCTCCAATGCCCAGTGGATGGTTTGATACACCTCTCTGCTTCTGGGCAACATTTTCACTAAACACCTGACTCAAAAGGAGCATGAACAGGACAAATTCGTGTAAAAAACAATGAGCTTAAGATGCCAACTTGCCCTGTCTTTTTAAAAGCATGCATGAGAGCTGAGCCATGTGTCCCCAGGCCCTCCGTGGGCAGCTGCCTTGGGCAGAGATGTGAACAGCAGTCCAGGGTTGGGTGAGCCAGCACTCTCTGGTGTCTTGGTGGCTGTGTGCACTGGCCGAGCCCCACGGACAGCACTGTGGCGCTGATGACTGGCAGCTCATTCCCCAGCAAAGCCACTCTGGGGATGTCTCCAGCAGACACTCGCAGACTCCACAGCGGCAGTGAACAACGGGTTTAACCAAGTTCCCTCCACCCCTACCACAGAATACTAATGAACCAGAGCTCCCTACCACTAACAAGCTGAGGTCACCACAACACACGGTCCAGTGAAAAGAGCAAGGCAGAAAACAAGTTGTAGAGAAGGTTCCCGTTTGTGCAAAAAAGTC